TATCTTATATTATGTTGTCAAACTGTTAATGAAAAATACACGTTCATAAATAGTTATTCGACGCTAATCAAATTTAAGACTTGTTGAGCTTTGTGTGTGTAACCTATCATACGACAACCAATATCCGTATTCACAGGGCAGTGGACGATGATATATTTCTCAACTCAAGCATGTGATGCACGAGTCTTTGTTCCCCACCGAGACCACAAGAGATACTCACAAAGACTAAAGGAAGGAGCAAGAAATCAAGAAACATATGAACATTTAAGAGATAGCGAAAGAAGGAAAAAGGGGTCCGATACTCTTAATTGTCGAAGAAAAAAAAAGCTAAATTGTCATTGTCAATCACGGCTCCATCATTGGGGCAGTTTGATTAATTTGCATAGTCGAGAAAATTCTTAAAGAGCCGTACAAGAAGAGCACTCAAAGATGACTTCTCCAGCCCATATAATTCCTGCAAGACTAAATCTCAAGAATTTGTGTATTGAAGCTTATTGGAAAGTGACATGGTGAGGGATTTTTTCCTCCTCCCAAATGAGTACACACAACAGAAGAAAAAGAGATGGAAAATAAATCATAAGATATTTGATTAAAAAAAGTGTCGGCAATAAATATATATGTATGTATATGTATGTTCTTGTATATACAGATGTCAACGGACCAGAAAAAAAACTTAATATTAAAAAGAAGCTTGTTTTTCATCATTGTCTTTCACTGTTTTCATGTGATTGATGAGAGGTCGACATCTCTGCCATCTGTTGCTGTTCCACTCAAAGACTTTCCCAAACTTCTTGCAACATACTGTGCAGAAAGCAACGTGGCACCATCGGAGACTCGTTTCATGAATTTATTTTTTATTTTTGTATAAACGAGCATTTATTTATTTTATTTCGATGAGCCAATCAATTATGTTGTTTTGAAATAGTCTTTATCCCTCAGTTTCCTAAACCAAGTCAATCCATGAACATAATTAACCCCTAAATATCTCTCTCCACCACCGCCACCATCATCCACCCGTCCTATATAGTCACCCACAGGGGCCACAACCCATCCCATCTTCACAAACTGCCACCCTATTTTCTAAGCCTAGATTGTTTTGCCTTCTTCTTTTGGGGCATGCCAAGTCATAATTGAAAACATGTACTGAATTTTGTTCTTAACAATTGGAAATTGCACCACCAAAAACTTCAATTAGGAGTGCATACAAAAAATTTTTGTCGACTTTCTCTCACAATATTTACCGTAACTCGTAAAATTTTAAAGGAGTAACCCTAAAATAAAGACAACATAAAACTATAACATACAAAAACATACTTCTAATTAAAAAGAGCATCATTCGTATCCGATGTATGAAAGATTTCTCGTCCTAGGTTTCTATGTTTTTGTACTCCATTCTAATTTAACTAAATGGAATTAAAAAGAAAAAAAAAAGGCTATTGTCAATTGATTTCACTTGTAAATATTTAAAAGAAAATAATAATAAAAAGACAAACTTAGGGGTAATTAAGGTCTATCGAGAGCAGAAGCATTTTAATCAGTACTTCCTTTCGTTTTATGCATCATTATAGCAGACACTTAAGCGTGGTGGTTAAAATATTTGATTAAAGAAGACAAAAATTAGAAGTTTACCGTGAATATGAAGCTGTAACCGCGTTTTAGAACCTCCAACAGAAACCAAGTTCTTCTCCACATCATCTTGATGAAATCTTGAGACATGTAAAGCTTCTCTCCCCCAAAATCAACACCGTCCGTTTCCAGCCGGTAGCAGTTGAGCCTCAGAAACTGGCAGCGATCGTAGGCAGTCTGATCAACCGCCACGAGCACAAGATGATCGAGCAGATGCCTAGTGTCCTCCCCTTGCCAAAAGCTCTCGATGAAAAGGTCAAGCATGGTGGTGTCTGCCTTGACATCTTGGACTGCGTAGGCCTTGTTTATAACAGCAATGATCACAGTCTTGTTGCCAATCGAGGCCTTGTCTAGGGTGGCCAAAAGCTCATCTGGAGCCACATTAAATGCAGTGGTGGTCTGTGAAAAAAACACACAAAAATAAAAAAACACAATTTAGAAAACTGAGGCAGAGGCCTGCCAAGGGCTAGCGCTATGTAGCTCAAACGGTTAAGAGCATGTAAGTAACTTACTGGGTTCTTTGACGGGCATTGGGCATCATGTTTCTGAAAGCTAAAGAGAGGGTTTATGAGGGAGGATGAAGAAGACCATATACAAAGATAAACAGCACAAGCCAAGAGTAAGGAGAGAAGGGCAAGATTGGATCCAATAGAGGAGTGTTTTGGTTGATTATCCATTTGAGTGTGCGCGTTGTGTTTTGTGTATATGCGTGGTTGGTTTTTGGTTTTGGGATTCTAAAATTAGAGTGCTATGTTTTCGGGCATTTGGATGAGCTCAAAGCCTCTGAGGAGAGAAGAATGAGGCGGATGAACGAGTATGTTAGGTAGAATAGTCATGTAATGCGCCTGAGGGACTTCGGTGCCATCAAACTTTTCAAGGCTTTATAGTGTTTTTTGGGGTAAATTATTGGCTCGGGCCTTTTAGTGTTTGGTGGTCTAAAAAGACTTGAGAGATTAATCCGCCATAAAGTTCATGTTTTTCTTTTTGGTGAGTAATCTGTAAAGATCAAAACAAAAAGCTAAAACTCTTTTTATAACTCCTAAAGAGGTCTTGGTATGCCCTAGTTCTGAAATGAGGTAGCTTCCCCCCCCAAAAAAATTGGGCTTGGTAAATGGGGTTTGAATTTTTATTTTATTTTAAAGGTGAATTATGTTGCATTATGATAATATATATGGGAATTATAGAATACCAACAGTAGTAAGACCACGTGATATAACTTGTATACGTGTTATAATATGGATGAACGACATGGTTGATATTTTTCTATTTTAAAGAAATAATATCAATAAATATTCACTTATATTATAACATATGTGCAAATTATATCACGTGACCATACTGCCGTACTACATTATTCTATAATCACTCACTTATTTGGGCTTTAGTTTGATTTCCCATCAAGGTCTCTTTTTATTTTTATTTTCCTAAAGAATTGTCGTCCATAACTTGAATTCAGAGTCATAAACATGTCTCATTAAAAGTCTATAAAACCTCAAATGATTGAAAAGAACCACTAAACCGCCTTGTGTCTAAAAACCCCTTTCTTTTATATATATGCGATAATGCGAGTGCGTAACTTGTGTCTAAACAATTAAGGAAAGTTCTTATACTAATTTATTTTTTTTGGATACTTGGTTGGTCTCCCACTTGCAACAAAATGCCAAGATTAAGGGTCCCCTTAATCATACATATGAGATGATGTACCTACTACCTACACATATTTGTCCTCTTCTTATTCTTTTGTTATTCAATCTATAAAACATCGGAGAGAAACTCACTCACGAATGATGACGTATAATATAATTGAAAGATCCATAAAATAATGAATCAAAAGCTTTACCGTACATATGTGTTAGAGAATATATCAGGTAGCCATTTCCTTGGCAGATTCCAAAATGCCTATATACTTATTATAAAAAATATATATATATTAAAACCAATTAATAAAGTTGAGAGAAATGTTGCTTAAACTTAATTTATTCATCTCAAAAGAGATTTCAATTGCTTAAACTTTATTTATTTATTCAAAGATTTGGCATAGTATTGAGCATGCCTGATTAACATGGTTCAACCTACAACCTTAGTTTAATCTAAATTGAGTTTTTGTTGGTAAAGAAATTTATATACATGACAAGTAAAGTCGCATGCTTAAAAAATGTGGATTTAATTTTTTTTCGGACTTGTAGTTTAAGTGGGTAATAGTATTTATTTATGCTCCTCAAGTCTTAAGTTCGATTCTCCCTTTCTCAACATCGCTCGTATAAAATAATAATGATAAATCAAAATTTTGAGAGTTGAGATCAATGCAATATGCAATTCATGTATGCGAGTGTTTGTGTTTTTGAGAGTTGAGATCTGTTATTAGGTGACATCAATGCCCACTTACGTTACGTCTTGAATCTTCCTCTAATGTGAATGGCTGATGGATGGGCTCATAGTTCGTAATTTTTTTGTTTACAGATTTACGTGTACGAAAAGACGATATGTCGTTTTCCCAACGCAACAACCGAGACTGATGGTTTAAGTGTGACGTGGCGTCGTTTTGAGCCTTCGTCGTCAGTTAGACGGTTTGACTTTTGATCATAAGGTTGATTTCTTTGGTTGTTCAGAGAAGTTGAACCTGATCATCAACCACAGAATCTTAAATCGTATGTAGATTATAATTGGATGACAGCACACCCACCGCTGAATTAATTACCAAATAACAATGACATAATCTGTGGTTAGTTAAATAATCTCCAAACTCCGAAAAATTATCCGAAAATTACCACATGCTCGTAGTAACGTCTACTATTTTTCGATGATGTCAAAACACCAAAATTCTCAAATTAGACCGTGCAATTAATATAGTGAGCTTAACAAAATGAGAAAAAAAAATTCCGGAGCTCACCGGTGGGAACTAGGAATTAATGAACTAGTGAACATTCCCTTATTTTTTATCTTTTTGGCCATACAAGAGCTCTATTTATTTGTCTTGAAATGGACAAGTAAGTACAAAAGCCTAGTACTGCCTAAGCAGTACAACAGTGAGTTCATTAATTCCTACTGCGCAGTTTACAATTTGTTGTGGTTGGATTTGGCTAAGTTTGTGATTGAACTTCAATTGGATAGGCCCATATAGCGGTACAAACTGGACAAATCAAACCAATTTGAACTAGTTTGGTTGGACCTTTTTGGTTTTTTTTTTTGTTTCAGACTAGTTTATTTACTTGGGCCTTTTTTTGTTTTGATGTTTACTTGTGGCATCCAACTATTTTTTCTGGGGTAACAGACCAACTGAAAAGAGCCACAAGTTCTGAAAGGCAGGAAAAGCTTTTTGGCATGCTTGATAGATAATTTGAGCACATACTATTTTTAAAAATGGTCCACCATGATTTACCCCAAACCCAATAACATTATAATGAAGTTAAAAGAAAGAACACAATGAATATTGCACACTTTTCTCCCAGAAAAGAGAAGGAAGCACCCAGAAAGAAAAAGAGGGTTGAAAAGAATGAACAAAAGTGTCAAAGAAGCTGTCAAGGAGAGAGAGAGAGAGAGAGAGAGATTAAAGAACTCTGCAGATGTTCAAATTTCTCTTTTGCTTTTTGGACTTTGGAGGATGCAGAGCCAACTTGATAGCTGCATCAAAAACAGTCTTCACGTTCTGCAATTTTAACAATAAGATTTTCAACATATGGAGTTCCTCATGAAGACCAAGCATTGACTTTTACATACTGGAAACACATTTTTCTTTTCATGAGCACATTTGCACATGTGAGGCATACCTGCTGTTTCTTTGAGCTGCACTCTATATATGCCACAGCTCCTATTCGTTTTCTCAGATCTTCACCCTAAAATATTTAAGAAATGCTTTAGAGTAATAAGAAATAAAATAAATTACCCCAAAAAAAAAAAAAAAGTAAAACATGTTCAATGATTAGTGAACTTCCTGGGATAATATTATAATGAGGTCTAGAACCTTGAATTCCCTTTTGTTCTTTTTCTTTTGTTTTTTATACGAGTGATATTGGGGAGGAGAGTTTTCTCTCACACACACTGTCAAGGTGCTATGGGAGTTCGGACATGAGACTACTGATCTGTAAGTCAAAGCCATTTTTTCTTTTTCTTTTGTTTATCTGCCTTATTAATATCCAAACAGCAATAACAAGGACCAATAATTTTGCCACAGCTTTTACAGAAGCATGTTTGTGGAAAGGCAAAAAGTAGCTGTAGTGGAAAATCTACCTGTTGTGTTGAGATGGTACATGCCCCAGGGTAATCCATTAGGAACTGCCTATCCTCTCTCAGATCTGCCATACCAGAAAATCCATATTTTTCAGACAGAGATAAAAAGAAATCTTCTTGTTTCATGCTTCACTTTTTATCATTCTCAACCAAACATACTCAATTATTTAGAGAATGCAGAAACTGCACACTTACAGCTACCTCTGTCAATCCAATTTGCAGAATGTAGAAAAAAATTGGGTTTGGTAGTGGAAAGAATGGATTACCTAGTTTGGTCCCCACCAGAATTATAGGCACTGATGGAGCATAATGTCTCAGCTCAGGGACCCACTTCTCCAACATAACAAGAGGTGAAAAAGAGAAAGGCATAGAATCTGATTAGTATATGCATTAGGTACATGCAAATAGGAAAAGTGAATCTTTGAGAAGAATTTAATAGATAAAGAAGAGAGATAAAGAAACCTACTTTCTTTGGTATGTTCTCATAGCTAGGCCTACTAATGAGGGAAAAGGCAAGAAGGAAAACATCAGCTCCTCTGTAACTCAGTGGCCTCAGCCTGTTGTAATCTTCTTGACCTGCATATGAAGATTTCACAGATTGTAAAAAAGAAAATGGTTTTCAAAGGCAAGAGAAAACTTTTATTGAGACTGGGTTTTTGCTGTCACATTTAGCTGTCATTCAAATGCATTATTTCCTGCTTTTTCTTTTTTCTTCTTAAGTTGATGGAAGAAATTGCACTTTGCTTTCCTTATAGCACCTGAAGTATAATGATTGTTGCATCTAGCAGGGCCCTTTTAGGATCTCATGCAGTAGTGCTCACACCACCTTTTTTCACATTACCAAAAACTTGACATGTTTGAAACATCAATGCGAAAGTGCTTATAATATAAGATGTGAATATGACTGTTATATATATTATTGCTTTGGTAATTAATCATATCTTTAATATTTCTTCTGTTTTTTTTTTCTTTCTAAAACCAGCTTTACAGTTCAATTTTCTAGAAAATTTTCCTTTTTATCTTGAAAATATAACATTCATGTGTCACTTATTGATATTATGAAGAAGGCTTTCTGCTTCGTTTCATTGCTAAGGATTCGTGGTTCTTTCTACGGAAGGTTTTGGATGGTTTGTTCTTTCTATTGACATGAGGTTCAAAGATGCAGACTTGAGCCAATTTAACTTGAGAAATAAATCAAAACAAATTATCAGATAACTTTTGGTGATGATAAAATCAAACAAAAATATCATTTTTATGTTTTTCTTTGTTGTAGAAAACAATTGATCTCCACTTACATGTCAAACATAACTGAATTGACAGAAATCTGAAGTACAAGCTAGCAACCAAGGATCAAAATTCCCATTGAGCATGTGAATGAGAAGGAGAAGGAGAGAAGAGAGAGAGGAGAGGAGGAGGAAGAGAAGAGAGAGAGAGAGAGAGAGAGAGAGAGAGAGAGTACCAGCAGTATCCCAAAGACCCAGATTTACAGTTTGCCCATCAACCAAGACATTGGCACTGAAGTTGTCAAAAACAGTAGGAACGTAATCCTGCCAATTAGAAAGTTCAAAAACAAAAATGAACCCAGAAAGAAAAATCAGTAAGGAACTAAAACTCAATGAACCATTGACAGAAAGGAAAGAAAGTTTATACAGT